AGGATTTTTACGTGAAGCGGCGCCTGACGCTTACAGGTGAAGCGGCAAGGTCAGAAGGTTTTGACGGACAGTTCCGAACCTCGAGTACTGAGCGTGCGTCCGCAATGGTGGCTCTGGGAGTGAATTAGTTCAGTTTGATAGCCCATAGTGATGGCTATCTTATGTTAAAGTAGCGACAAATAGTTCCTTTAGCAAGGTATTGCTGATGGCGCATGGTACCAGCGTGTCTACAAATCTGATGTGCGCAGGCGAGTACTAGGGGATAAGCAGACCAGTTCCATAGAACAATAAATAAGTTGCGTTGTTTTGAGCATGCGGTATGTATGACCGTTCGCCACCTACCGAACACAAGCTTGTTATGTTTGCCGGGTGTAGGGTAGCGCAAAGCTCAAGGTAAACAAACGTTGACTAGAATGACAAAAAATAAGGCCACTGAGGAGTAGACTGGGTACTGCCGATCCGTTCGGTTTCCAAATCTGGAGTCCAAACGACCTACCTAGTGCTTGGCTCGAGATCTTACAGTATATAGCTCGTGACCAATATCAGTAGCGCATCTGCCATCATCTGATCGGATTGTTTGCTTAAAAGGTGTTTGATACTGAGTAATCTACGAAGTAATGGGCAATAAAACGGAAAGGAAAGTCTTGCCGCTGCTGCCATACTTCCGCACGATAGTCAGCTGTTTACGGCCGTTTAATTGACAAAAAACGAAAGGCCGTACGCCGGAAAGTAGAATCGACGCTTCATTGCTGTGCAACCGCTACCGATCGGACGTGGGTTAAGGAAACTGCGAGTCATCAGGTCGCTACGCAGGCTCCAACTAGCGTCTTCAGATTACAAATCAGGCTTGTGATCCTCAAAGATACAGGCCGGTGTTAGTGTAGAATGGTAGACGTCTTAACTCTGCATTTACCAGGCACTGAAGTTTTACATCAGGTGCCTCAAATAAATAAATGGTAATCTCAGCAGGTAAACTGCAATCACCAGTTTAAACTGTTCCCACTAATGATGATGATGAACGCATGGGACCGATGGCAGGAACATAGGGGATGCCAAGTAGATGCCAGAAAATTGTCTCAGGGAAAATTCAGTACAGATCACACTGTACTCCCATCTAAATATCATTACTTGCTGAAACCCTGTCGGAACGAGTGTTCGTTAAGCATCTCACGGGTGTTCGTTTAGTGCTATCGGAGTCCCGACTAGACAATTTTCGAACGGAAAAAGGACACTAAGAAAAAATGTGCAAGAAAACGATGTTGAAATGAAGGCAAACTGGTGCGCATTTAGGAAACTATGCGTTCCATGTTGCATGCGTGCAAATGCCAAACTCGCGTTACTAGGCACCTACGTAACGATTGAGAAACAACGAAGTGTGAAATGCAGTAGTTATATTTGCATGAACCATGCGCAATAAAAATGCAAAATTAGTAACTAAAGTAGAAATTATTGCCATAATGTATAAAAACCTTTTTATTCTATGTCGGAGCTTGTTTATTCGGAAAAATCTGCCGTCCTATGAGAGTCCCGTCCTGGACACCTCGGTTCTTTGGCTATGTCAAACGGAGATGCAATGCAAATTCGCCTATCCCTGTGCTCTTTGGACCTGACGGCACTGAAGTATCAACCGATCATGCCAAGACCTGCTTACTTGCAGAACAGTATGCTAGGTCGTTTGTTCACGAATCTCCATTGCCTAATATCCAACTGCAAGCAAAGATACCCTTAGACGCCTTTCTGATGGACCTTTCCATCTCGGAAGCTCAGGTACTCAAGCTCCTGCGTGATCTAAATCCCACAAAAGCTGCCGGGATAGATGCCCTCCATCCCAAACTTTTGTACGAGCTGGCTGGGTTGTTGTGTAAACCGATTAAGTGTATCTTTGAGAAGTCTCTTCGTAGCTGCTCCCTACCTGCTGACTGGAGAGATGCTATCGTGTGCCCTATTTTCAAAAAGGGTGATAAGCACTTACCTGAAAATTATAGACCGGTTAGCCTAACAAGCGTACTGGTGAAAGTATTAGAGAAGCTTGTAAGAGATGCTCTGGAAAAGCACTTAGCTAAGTTCAGTTTGCTCAACCCCTCTCAACATGGTTTCCGCAGAGGCCACTCCTATTTGACTAACATGTTGGTAGCCCGAGAGTGCTGGGCTGAAGCTGTGGATCAAGGACAGACAGTGGATGTGTTGTTCATCGACTTTTCTAAAGCCTTTGACACCGTACCGCATTGCCGTCTTTTGTTTAAACTAGAATCCTACGGCGTTTCAGGCCAAGTATTGAAGTGGATTTCGGCTTTCCTGGAAGGAAGGCAGATGAGCGTCCGAGTGGGTTCCGGGCTGTCTTTCAGACAAGCCGTTCTGAGTGGTGTTCCTCAGGGGTCGGTTCTCGGACCTCTACTGTTTGCATTGTATGTCAATGACCTCCCTGAGAAGCTTAAGGTACCATCCCTTATGTTTGCGGATGACTTAAAATCTTGGAATACAGTGAGCGGTTCTGTTGGGCCCACGGCTTTACAGACAGCTCTGGACAAGCTTTGGGAGTGGTCAAAATTTCGGCAGCTGCCAGTCAATCTTGCAAAGTGTTCGGTCCTGCGCATAGGATCAAGCACTTCCACAACTTCTTACGTACTTGGCGGAAATGTATTGCGTCAAGTGACTGAACAAACTGACTTGGGTATCTCGTTATCCTCTGACTTCAAATCCAGCGAGAACTGGACAAATGCTACCCGCAAGAGTTTCCGAATGCTGTGGATGATCAGCAGGTCATTCGGCATTATAACAAATGACATGTTTGTTACACTGTTCTTAGCTTTTGCCAGGCCATACTTGGATTACTGCGTGCAGGCCTGTCCTCCATGCTTGGTAAGCGACAAGATGACACCCGAACGAGTTCTGAGGGTTGGTACAAAAATGGTACAAGGATTGAGGCATCTCTCGTATCCTGATAGGCTGCTCAAGTTGCAGGTGTTTTCGCTGCACTATAGGCGCCTTCGGGGAGACCTGATTCTTACATACCGTATATTGACCAACAAGATTGGGCCTGATTTAACTGGACTGTTCCATCCGGCTCAGACGCCATCTCTTCGTGATCACCCTCTGAAGTTGCATAAGCCTAGATCTGATCACGTTAGAGCTGACGTTCGGTTGTCACACAGGGTCATCGACTCATGGAATGCACTACCCAGCGAAGTAGTATTAGCACCAACGGTGAAGGAGTTTGAACATCGACTCGACGCCCGTGGGTTACAGTTTCAGACCTTTCCGTTTAGTTCTTAACTTCTACATCTATTTCCTTGGCTTCTCACATCTATTACTATTACTGTCTTAACCACACATTCTCTCCTGTACTGCAATTACCATTATTTTGTTTTCGTTGGTTCCCTTCTCTTAACCTTTATTCTATTCACGTGGCCGGTACAGTGGGGACTGCTAGTGCAGGCCGCGTGGGCATTGATTGGTTGACCGTTATGTGATTCGTGTGTATTGATTTGGCTCCTCTCGGCTCCAAATCGTTCCAGCGAACTCCATCCTGGTTCAACGACGCATTGAAGAAGGAATACACATGGGAATTCTCCTACCGTTCCTGTCCAAATTGAACTTGAACTTGTCCAATGGTGCCGACAGGGAACTAGCTTATAATGCCATCGGACGATGGCGAGTCAGGGACCTAACCCTGTCCTGCGCACGCTGAGAACGCACATGGCGGTAATGGATAAGTGTACACACTAGATCACACCAAGCTACTGAGGCGTGACCGCCGCTGTTCACCGAAAGTAGCCCAGTGGTCTTCAATACGGAGTAGTCACGGGATAACCCCCCAAAGGAGAGGAATGGATTGGACGCTGCTGACGACTCTCGAGAGGATAGGGATGTCGCTCAACGCTTTGCGAATTTCGCTGACGAACCTGCTTTGCAAATTTACAAATAGATGGCCGTTTCTAACGTCATTGGCTTACTTACTGAAACACAAAAGGAAACACCGTACGGAGACCTGTATCATCCATGGGGAAATGACCTAATGAGTCAGGACAGGGGTATGGAGGCCCTGCGCAAAGCGTTATTCACTACAATTACCCTTAGCAAGGCAGACTTATCACGTTAGTGTAAAGTAAGTGGGCTGATAAGGCATAGCATTACAATCGCATCGTAAGTTAGGTTAAGAACTGGCATTTAGTGGGAGACCAGGTGAGTCAGACTTAGTTCGATCGTTATGCCGACGAGCACTGAGTAAACCGTGAATGTAAGTGACTGACTCTTGGAAACAGGTTTCATCTATTTGAAAAGCAACAGCGGGCCCAATACCGATCATGGAAGACACCAGCTAAGCACTCTATAAACTCGATCAACTTTATCAATAAGCAGAATAACCATCCGTATAAGCAATGGATTAGAGTCGGTGGCTAGGATGTCAAATATGTAGAACTCCGACGTAGACAAGGATAATTTGGTGGTGTAGAGCGATTTATGTTGGAATTCGTTGATATCAAGGTGATTAGACTACATTTAGTGTACAAGAGCACACGGTTAGGTAAGTATGGAAGGTGCTACATATCGGTAGTAGCCGTAGAGTGCAGTGTGCGCGGCTGAGCGGGAAAAAGAACAAACCGGCAATTTATCAATAAAATGATTACTTGAAATACAAGAGAAGCATACACTAGATCATCAAATATACTGCAACACACGAAGGTGGCAATGGTTTTACGCAATCGGAAGATACGGAAAGGATAACAGAGGGGATGAAGACAGTTAAAACACATTAGCTGAGATGGAAAAGGGCCATCAGAGATCAAAGGATAGGCTTTAAATAAGTGATAGAATGTTTCGTAAATTGAAGAAATAATTCATGCAAGCTCTAGAATAGCCCATGGTAAAAGTAACAGCTAGCAAAAAACGTATAAATGGAGTATCTCTGATCCGTTAGTTTAAAAGAAAGTCAAATCCCAGATGTGTTCTATTTGCTTCACACAAACTATACGCGAACTCAGCTAACACTTCGGCTAGGCAAAGTGCCGGAAATTTAAGCGGAAGTGGTGACAAAAAGCTGGGGGAGCAGCAGTAAGCCGTGCAATGTCAGAATGACGTGGATCGTCACACAGGATTTTAATAGCGCACAAGAGACAGACAAACAAATAACAAAAAAGCAATTGCTGTGACGAGAACGAAGTCCAGGCTTGATTAAGTACAACTGTTGTGGTTCTGATAATTGTCAGAAATAGGTCGAAGAAAACGAAATGCAATCCGTCGCTTGCAAACGGCATCAGCGACCTACCCCGCTAGCGCTGGCGACAATTCACCCGATTTTTTGGCGCAGCTCTTCCTCAGTAATCTCATCTAAATCGTTGGCTTCCACTTCGTGCTTGATCCCTATCAATTTCAGCCGGATAGCGTCCTTGGAAGCAGCGTAAATCATTTTTGTCCTAATATTCAGTGCAGACGGATTCCTATACAATGTGAGAAGTCAGCTAACACTCACCATGAGATGAACACAAGAGTGGGCAGTTTGCCGGGACATTCGTAGTCGTAAACAGCGTAACGACCTTCGCCCTTCTCCATGGCAGCGATAAGCTCGCCAAGAAAGTCGTCATAAGTGGCCCCTAAAAAATACAACCATGTATGTTGGGCAATTACCTCGATCTGCTTGAGTCAACACGTGTATTTCCTTGTTATCTTTGATGTGGAATAGTATGTATCGATGCTGTTTACGCAGTTTCAACTCGTTGTAAGCATCGATACATGACTGATGACATTTAACTCCGGATGCCTATCAGAAAATAACATTACGTCGACAGAAGCAGAAGAAAACACACCATGTCGGGAACTCGAGAGCGTTAAATTGTACGTCGAAATAATTCGCGTCAAGCGTGTGTCCTGCGGTACAAACTCTGTACGGCAGCCGGGTACATTCTATAAAATTTGTCCTAAATACTTTGTTGATACACAGCACCGAACTATCGAGTGTTCGTTCTTCTGAAAATAGAAAGCACAGTTGTTTACGCGCACGAATATTCAGATTGTTTATACTCAATAACGTCGTTCACTTGTTGTATTGATAATTATCCGTGGTACGTACAAACGTCAGTTCGTATTTTATTAGGTTACATATAAATTTACCTTACATGCAAAGTCGTTGAATGTAATTACCAAAATTAATTACTTTTGAACGGGATGTAACCTAAATTCAAGTTAACCCGCCATTATATTATTAATTGCTCCTTAAAAATTCAAAAGTACTTCTAAGTTGGTCATTGCGCATTTGAACACTATTAGGACAAAGAAACAATTTCATTGTTAAGTACGATCATATCATACAAAACTGTGCGGTACAAGCACTTCGTATGCAATGATTTTTATTAACGCATTCTATTGTTCCTGGTTGATATGCACGTTTTGAAAAAGTTGAGTGCACTCAACCGTTACATAGATAGTTCGTTTAACATAATTTTACCTATGATTAGGTACTTAATTTAATAAATACACTGTTACGATTGAAGCTTCTGTATCCTACTCAAGGAGCGGACTAGTACCACTTTGGTTAAAATATTTAGATCATTAAAAATATCGCTGTGAGAGCGACGTCCTCTTGAGTGTTACTTTGCACTGAGATCTTCTGGTCAAAGAAAAGAGAATAAAGATCGTTTCTGGTGAATCATTTAGTGAATATTTGGACTTCATCATCCATGGCGTCCAAATGCTTGTCGTTCCAAAGCAGTGCAGTGTTCTGAATGTGATGGGTGGATGCACATCGCCTGCTGCGGCATCTGTCTTGATCAATATGTGCTCTTACATAGATTCACCTCGCCACCCATTAACTTTTTTTGCGACAACTGCCGTGCCTCACTGAATTGCAGGTGTCTTCTCGCCGGACTATCTGCGTTGAGCTTGATTCTTCTTCTCCGACGAAGCCTGATACTATTCACGATTCATCTGCTCCACCGTGCTCACCATCACCATCTACCTACGGTTGAATCACCCCATGGGTAAGCAAAGCCGAACCACGTCCACTACGCATACGGATCCATCTACACAGGTCCTGCCCATTGATCCCACCACAAGATCTTATGCGGCAGTTGTGACGGAAAGCGCGGTCTCCGTTCCCATTTGCAAAAGCCCGAATACAAGTGGCGCCAAGACTGGGCCTAAGCCCGTCGAGAAACCCAAATCTAAGTCATCATCTCAGTCGCAAATGAAGGTCGTTCTCCACAGACTGTCTGAGCATGGGAAAGTTGTCATGAAAAATCCGTCCCGTAGCAAGCCACACATTCCTGAGCGTACTCAGCCATCGCGCGACCGTTGTATTATCATCATGAACGCAACGTAATCGGTAAATGCAACCCCTGCGGAAAGAATACCAAATGACCAAACACCGCTTGAGCGGTTGTTCTCATTGCTATTTGATGAAGGCGAACGGGGAATTAATATTGTATCTGCCTTCCGTCTCGGAAAAAAAACAAGATATGTCGAGAAATCGCCCCCTTAAACTCGTTTGCCGGGTTGAGCAAGAATGCCGACGCATCCTGCGAAGGACCTCGAGTCTTAAAGGTGAGCCATTCTATGTACTTCGAGACCTCGCACCGGAAGATCGAGCCAAAATGTAAAAGGCTGTACAAGAACTACGTACAAGACGGGGCAGTGGTGAAACAGACCTCCATATTATGGGTTTTCGAGTAGTTCGGAGGACGCTGAAAAACCCGTTGGAGACTCTGTAGTGCAACAGAAAACATGCTCTTTCAGTATCTTGTAACATTGGATTTTATGGTTGTTTTAATCTTCGAAACGTCCATTTGTTTTACTGACTGCACGTCCGTTGTCACAAACCGTTTTGGTGAGTACCTCGCTGCACGTTTCTCGCTCTGTTTAATTCGCTTCCTATTCTTGTAGCCTGTACAATATACGTTGGGTTCAGTCGCCTCCGACTTCTATACTGTCGTACTTGACACGTCTTACGTGTCACTGCTTACCGACTAGTATCCCAGGTTCCGCCCAACAATTGGTGACCCCTTGTCAGGGACACGCCGTCCGCCATTATGAATTTTCATTCTGGTGAGCTCGTTCCAGTGATTTTGTGATTCATTACTAGTGATCATATTGTTTTCTCACCTACCACGTATTTTATCTGCTTTTTGCAATGGATAATCTAGAGGATAAGCGATCTCCATGCGCAGTTAACGCCGTTCAGCCTGCCATGGTCAATTCGGCTGCATTGGCCCCTCCTTTTTAAGAATGATCCTTTATTATGGTTTTACATTTAGAATCCGTGTTTTATGTTCGTAAGATTTCTTCTGATTTCACCATGTATAACCAGTTAATATCTTGCCTTTCCCAGAATATATCCATGCAGGTGCGAGACATCATACTTTGCCCCATGTAGTAATGAAATACGAGACACTTAAATAGGCTATTATTCAGCGAATCACGCCTTCTGACAAGGTCCGTCTGCAGCAACTATTTAGTGATCTGCGGCTAGGAGATAGGATGCCCGCAGCCTTGTTGCGCGAAATGTAACAACTCATCGGCACGTCCAACATGGACGTAGGGCTTCTCCGCGAGCTATGGATGCAACGCCTTCCTGCAAGCACTCAGGCTATACTTGCAGTAACAAGTGACTTGCCCATCACAGCAATTGCAGATGTAGCAGACCGCGTCATGGAACGGAACCAGCCAGAGGCTAAAACCAAAGCAGCTAAGCAGCTTTTCGCTGGCGCAACCACATCGACAGGCGCGACTAGCCCGCCGTCGGCAATAGACGCATTATCGTTGCAGATAGCGTCACATCAGCGCCAGATCGAGGAACTCACTTTAAAACGTAAGCACCGCAACCGCTCTGGATCATCGCACGTCGCACAAAACCTGATGCCTCAGGTTACTGCTTTTACCACCCGCGTTTCTGTACTAAAGCCAGTAAGTGCGTACAGCCGTGTTGCTAATCCGCTATAGATGATCCGCCACGCCAGCCTGTAATGGCCACGAATGTCAGCAAAGCTCAAAGTCGTCTCATCTACATTAGGGATTATGACTCCGACACCCAGTTCTTAGTTGATACCATGGCGGAAGTCAGCGTCATTCCCCCTATGCCGGGTGAGCCTACTACTTCTCTGTCGACAAGCCTCAGTGCCGCCAATGGCAAGCCAATAGCCACCTATGGTCATCGGTCACTTACCCTGGACCTAGATCTTCGGCGCACATTCCGCTGGGTATTCACTGTCGCTGCAGTCTCCTTTGCCATCATCGGAATTGACCTTCTCAGGCATTTCGACCTCTTGGTCGATGCGAAATGCCAGATGATATTCGACACTGCAACAAAACTCAGTGTACGTGGCAGCACCGCCGATGTCACATCCATATCACCGGTCTATGCATTTCCCCAGACCTCGTCAGCCTACGGTAATCTCCTTCCTCAGTATCCCAAGCTCGTTCAGCCAATGAACGCAGCTTTGCCCGTGGCAGCTCAAGTCATGCACCACATATGGACGAATGGCCCACCTGTGTCATGCCGTCCACGCCGATTATCGCCTGAAAAACTAAAGGTAGCTAGGGTGGAGTTTGAGCACATGCTTGAACTTGGAATAATCCGCCCTTCCGATAGTCCCTGGTCCTCGCCCCTGCAGATGATCCCCAAGAAATCTGGTGACTGGCGCCCCTGCGGTGATTACCGCGCACTCAATCGCCTAACCGTCGCAGATAGGTATCCCATCCCACACATGCAGGAGCTTACCGCATGCCTCACAGGTAAGACGATCTTCAGCAAGATCGATTGGCTGGCTAGCCGAACAACCTCCTCGTGGTGCCAGCTGGGTGGTTCGGGTTTAACACGTTCCAGCAAATAGTTCGGCGGCAGTGTTTCAGGACGTGGTGGGTTTTCGCCTGGCAAGCGTTCTCCCTATAAAAAGCCACAAATGTCTGTTTAACAACACTGCGGCGTGGCGGATGTGACTCGCCACAAAATAAAGTCACTGGCCCGTGGATATCCAGAAAGTGCTATCCAACCCACAGACATCAATCGCTTATGCTCACATTCCTGAGGATAGCAAACCGTCAAAAATGCTCCGGCATATTCAGACACAAGCTACATTCGTACAAAATTACATACGTATATACACTCATACATTTACATACACCGTTATGCCCAACATGTACTTTTTGTACATTTTTGATCACACTATGTTAGCTAAGCATGATCATGCCTGTAAAGGTGTGCCTCGCCTTGTCGAGAATAAAAGTTTATTTATTTATTTATTTATTTATCTGGTTTGCGCCTATCACCAGATACCTGTGGAAGCCAATGACATTCCTAAAACAGCCGTCATCACTACTTTCGGTTTGTTAGGATTTTTAAGAATGCCAGTTGGACTGTGCAACGCCGCACAAACATTCGAACGCTTCATCCACGATGTCACTCGTGACCTAGACTTCGCCTATTCCTACCGACGATATTTTAGTTGCCCGTTCATCGGAACAAGAGCACCTCGAGCATCCTCAAACTCGCTTCCAGCGCTTGACCCAGCACGGTGTCACAGCCAACCAGAATAAGTGCGAACTCGGCAAATCAACGGTAGAATTCCTAAGCTACCTCGTTTCATCGTTTGGTACTGAAGTCCTACCTGATAAGATCCAGGCAATCAAGGAGTTTCCAGCTCCGACGTCGTTCAAACACCTCCGTCGATTTTGTGGTTTGGCCATCTACTATCGACGCTTCATTCCGCGCTGTGTTCAGCTCATGCAGCCACTGACTGACTTACTCAGAGGAAATGAACGTAAGTTCGCTTTCCCTGACAACGCACAGGCAGCCTTCGCTGAGCTCAAGGATGCTATC